GCTTCTCTCAACCTTTGCCCCGCCTGCTGTTGGGCCCAGTGTAGCCTTTCCTTTAATTGTTGTACATATTCTGGAGCTGAGACAGCAGCCTGCTCCGGCCGCTGGACCCATTGTCCCTCCATCAAAGCCATAATGCCTGGTGGCTGCCGTCCAAACACTAATTCGAAAGGACTGAAGCCTGTGGAAGCCTGGGGGGTCTCCCTCATGGCAAACAAAAGAGGATCAATGAATAAGTCCCATTGCTGGGGTTTGTCGTTTGCTACTTTCTTGATTGCTTCCTTTAACGTATGATTGAACCTTTCCACCAACCCATCCGTCTGTGGGTGATACAGAGAAGTAAAGATTTGTTTGATACCCAGGGAGTTACATAGGTGTTTTAACAGGTTGGCCCGGAACGACGAGCCTTGATCTGACAGTAGCTCCTTGGGTATGCCAAATCTAGAAAACATCTGGAACAGGGCTTTCACCACCACCACCACCACTTTCATGGTGCGCAGGGGCACAGCTTCCAGAAAGCGGGTGGCGTAGTCCATTAGGACCAGCACAAACCGATTTCCCCGAGGGGTGCGAGGCATCGGCCCTATAAAATCCATAGCGATCCTAGTAAATGGCTCCTGTATCACGGGTAGAGGTTGCAATGGAGCTACTTGGGGGGTTTTATTAGTGCATCGCTGACATAGGGGACAGGACTGGCAATACTGCCGCACGTCCCTATGAACCGAGGGCCAAAAGAATCTTTCTAAAATCCGTGCTAAAGTTCTGGCGGCGCCTTGATGGCCAGCCCACCCATTATCATGTGCCATCTCCATTACCTGCCCTCGTTTCTCCTGCGGTAGTAACAATTGTTTAACCTCCCGCTGACTGGGATACAAAGTGGCCACCCGATACCATACCCCCTTATTTTTCTCTACTCGGGGAGTTCGTGACGCCAGACGCGCATCGACCACCACTCCCTCGCTTACCGCCACCTTGCGTCGCATAGCCTCTAGCGTGGGATCCTGTTCTTGTTCCTGTCGAAAGCTTTCGTCCCCACTCCAATCTTTCATTTCTGAATCCTCCGACCCCTCTCCACTCTCTTCTCTTTCAGCTTGCTCCGCCCGTGTCCCTGACCAAGTGTTTGCCGCCGAGGCAGCGGAGGCCTCGTGTATAAGGGCCCTAAACATTTTCACATCCCTCCCTATGAGAAGGGGGCAGGGTAACGATTCGACCTTGGCAAGCTCTAAAGTAAGAGCTTCTCCTTTGATTACCGCCGGCATTCGGATGACCGGCCACCTATGATTATGTTGAGTGAAGCAATTAATGGCGAGCCACCGGCATATGGGTAGATGCCCTGGGGCTAGATCGGCCCTTATCATGGACACAGAACTCCCTGTGTCCAATAAGGCTTCCACCCGTAGCCCACCCAAATGCACCACCACCGTGAACGGCTCCCAACCTTCTCCGTTGGCCCAGCTAGATAGAGCCATGGGCCAAGCGGCTTCACATTCCATCATGGGGCATTCCCGTTGGAAATGCCCCATTTCCCCACAGGAGTAGCAGGGCCCTTTCTGTGGCATACTGTAGTTCCCGCCTTTCTCTTTCGGTTCACCCCCACCAACTGAATTGTCTGGGCGAAAGCCAGGCTTGTGCTGAAACGCCCCACGGAGTGGCGTACTAAGGGCTGGACCTCGCGAGAAGGGACGGGCTCGGCCTTCGCACCCGCCCCTGCCTGGACCGTCGCTCCCCCGACCTCCCTCGGTCCTAGTGCCCCCCATTCCGGTTTTCCCTTTTTCTACTGTTTTTCGCCCGCCTTCAGCAGCTATAAAATTCTCCATTAGGGCGCTTAAAGTGGCTATGTCTTTTGGCTTGTTGCGTAAAGCCCAAATGCGCATTTCTTCTGGCAAACTTTGCAACGCCTGCTGTAACACCACTTTGTTCATGATGCCTTTCTCGCCCTCCGTCTTGGGACCTAGCCACCTTTCGGCTGTTTCAGACAATTCAGCCAACCACAGCCTCGGACGTTCTTCTCCCTTCCATCTCCTAGAATGGAATTTCTGTCTAAACGCTTCCTCTGTTATCTCAAACCGGTCTAGGATCGCTTGTTTCAACGTCGGATAGTCCCCTGCTTGGGCTTTCGTAAGACTCTTCAGAACGGTCTGAGCTTTTCCCGTCAGGTAGGGGCTTAGAAAGTAAGCCCACTGAGTTGCCGGCCATTGAGCCATTTCGGCTATTCTCTCAAACATCTCTAAGAACACCTCCACATCATCTTCAGGTGTCATTTTGGTCAAAAGGGGAGGGGGGGTTCTCATTCCTCCCAAGGTAGTTCCCGCCCCTCTTGCCTGTTCCCAGGTCTTGCAGAGGTCCCGGACCAGTACGGTATGGGTCTCTTGTTGGGTTCGCACCCATTCATGCATTAGTCTCTCTTGTCTCTCGGCCATCCACTGTGAGAACTGGGCTAGGTCAAACGCCGTCGGACTGGAAGCCGGTCCCGCCGCCCCGGTTTCCCCTTCGTTACCTTCATCCATGGCTTTTGGAGCTTCTTGTCTCACTCGTGCCGCTGGGGGTACCCACCCCGCTGGGCGGGGTAATCGAGGTGTGGGTAACAGACCGACTCCCCGTACGGGCCACCAATGTGACGGCGGAGGTTCTAGCCGAGGTCAGGGCGTCGCTTTGAGCGGGTGCGAAGGAGTAGAACAATTAGTTGTCTTTCAGGTTCACATCTCAGAATGCCAGGAGTAACAACTTTGTGTCATCTGCAGATTTAGCCACTTCACTGCTTACTCCCAACTCCACATCATTAATAAACAAGTTAAAAAGCATCGGACCCAGTACTGATCCCTGTGGTACCCCACTGATTACCACCCTCCACTGACAAAATTTCTCATTTATACTCACTCTCTGTTTCCTATTAATTAGCCAGTTTTTGGTTCAAAAAAACGGACTTGTCCTTTTATCCCGTGACTATTGAGCATACTTAGGAGCCTTTGATGAGGAACTTTATCAAAAGCTTTCTGGAAGTCAAGGTAAACAACATCTATTGAGTCCCCCTTGTCCACATGTTTGTTCACTCCCTCAAAGAACACTAACAGGTTAGTGAGACAAGATCTTCCCTTACAGAACCCATGCTGAGTCTGCCTCAATAGTTTTTGTTCATCAATGTGCCTACTAATTCTTTCCTTAATAACAGTTTCCACCAACTTACCTGGTATCGATGTCAGACTGACTGGCCTGTAATTTCCCGGATCTCCTCTGGAACCCTTTTTAAAGATGGGAGTGACATTAGCTACCTTCCGTTCCTCAGGAAGTTTTATAGAGCTGTCCTAAGACAGCTCTATAAAACTTGTGAAGTGGCTTTGTCTGGCTCTCTTGGAGATGAAAAATTGAAACTACTGCTTCATGAGACACCAAATGGTTGTTGTAACTCTCTTAATGAACCTGAACAAGGATATTACTGATATGGAAATAGGGTTGCCAGTACAGCCCCAAACAGCAGTAACATCTGGAGAGTGAACACTTGCAAAACAGCATTGTGCAATGCCGCAATATCACTTCTGGCTAGGACCTTCAGCATGATGGCACCAGGCTGTATGACGCTCTAGGACTTCCTCCCAAACTCTATGGTATAAACCACAGGGAGCAGGAAAATTCCTAGAGTGCCACATATCAGTGATGTCACTTCCAAATTCCAATCAGAAGTGAGGCTGAGGCAGCTTGTGATATCATTTCTCCCGCCCATTCCACCATGCCACTCCATTGAGGCATGCTATGGGAGCACCCACAGAGGTTTGCTTTTTATAGCATGCAAATAGCAGCCCTAGATGGAAGTCTGTGCATGGCAGTGTCCTAGAGTCACATTCCTCCTCATGCTTTCAAGAGAGCAGATGAGATCTGGAGGAGATCCGGGCCCTGTGGGACCTTGTACAGTTCCACAGGGCCTGCAAGACGGAGCTCTTCCACCAGGCCTTTGAGTAGGAGCCGCCACCGCCACTATTCCATCACCGAGATTTCATCTTTCATCTACCGCACTGTGAAGGGGCGGTAGGTGTCGCTCAATTGAGCCTGAGAAACAGCACTCCTGGCGCTCATGCTTTTTAAGAATTTCTACCACCAATGTGATTCGTCGCACATCTAGGTTAATTTATGTAAACTATTGTACCACCATTTTTAGCTTGTATATAACATTGTTTTAGTGTCTTAAATTTTACATCCTGTTTGTTAGCCGCCCTGAGACACTATGTGTAGGGCGGGATACAAGTCGCAAAATAAATAAATAAATAAATAAATAAATAAATAAATGATGTTTCTGCTCTACCCAGTGACAGAATAAAGGGGTGTTTTTTTAAATAAAAATTGTTTTATCCAAAAAAGAGGGGGGAACCATTAATATTTCATTATGCATCATAAATTAAGCTTAGTTTTTTCCATCCCCCCGGGAAAAAAGGTGTAGAAGAGTTTTAACGGTGCACTTGATGTTGATTTAGTATAACCTGCGTTTACTGCTGCGCAGTGTATATTTTAATCCACTTTGTGTATTGTTTATAGTATACCTGCCTTCATTGGTTGCTTGCATTGTTCTCTAATTCTGTAATCCTAGTCCTATTGCACTGTTCATTGGTTGTTTCATGCACTGCTTTATGTTCTGTGATCTGCCTTGAGATTTAGTGAAAAAGGCAGGCTATGAATAGAGCAAATAAAATGCTTAAAAATGGGAGGTTTGGATCCTAAGTTTTGCTTGTGCTGCATCCTGCCCATTGTGGAGACTGTTGTCTACTGCTAAGGGCAGTTGTCTGGCACTAGGCTTTTAAAAACTAATTGAAAGAATCTGACCTTGCAAAAGCAGTAATCCCTGAGGAGCGTGTTCCATAGCAGAGGGTTACCACCTCTGTAGAAAAGGGCATATCAGAGGCAAGGTTTAGGATCCATGCCAGGGATTTTCATTTCTCTTTTCATAAATGTACTTTGTACTAGCACTGTTTACCAGGTTGATACATATTTCTTCTTCTGTCATGTTGTTCTTGCAGGATTTTATATATTGGAAAACAATTCTGTATTACAAGAAGCCCTTTTAAAGAAAAAAAAAATCCGGACAGAAATTAAAATGCTTCACATTGATGACTATGGTAAATGTACCTAGATGTTATTATTATAAACCAAATATTTTGCTTTTCTTTTTTTCATCTTTGAAACTACCAGACTTTAATGTTTTGCTCTTTTCTTAAAAGACCTTCCTTTACAGTTGTCCTTTCCAAAGGATTTCACAGACCGGAATAAATATCCACTCCTGTTAATAGTGTAAGTATGACTTTAGTATCATTAAGATTAATTAAATTGATTTATGAGGTTGTATAGCTTATTTCCATGCTCTCTGGATAAAAGAATGTACACTTAGGTTCACATAATCTTGTTAGGTCATGATCTTGCTGTGGTGGCATCATACGTCCACTGTTTTGCTATTGTTTGAGGGATTTTTTTGAATGATTACTAGAACACATGCCAGCTTTAGTTTTCAAGGATCATATAGACTAGAGATTTCGGGAGCCATTCCTTTGAGTTCCAGAGAAATCAACACATTTTAAGCTCGATTTCGCCCCCCACCCCAAGTCGGAAGAAAGAGACAGAATCAGCGATGGGATAACTAAAGGCCCCTTTATTTTAACAAACTGAAGTAGCAAGGGCAACCTAACAATGCAGGATGGCAAGACCAGGGGTCGGCCTCAACCCCTCCTTACCACATAGGGTGAGCCACCTTGCCCCTGGCATGAGCCATGTTTATGTGGCTTGCACCTGGCCAGCATAGCAAGCAGGTTATCACCCCATACCTCCAGCCCCCAAACTGCACAATTTAGGAGGCAGCGCTAGCCAAGGGGTTCCCGCAGGCAGTCTGTATTTCCAGTCCTGAGCCACACAACCCAGAGACTGGTCCCTTTCCCCAAAAGGTGGAGGTGCCAACTGATGCTCCCTGATCCTCTTCTCCTTACCCTGTACTATCCTGCCAAGTGACCAACCTAATTAAATGGCACCACCAAGCCAATTGCCCAGTACCATCACTGACAGTGTAGGATAGGCAAAATCATATGGCAAATCAGAGGAGGGCAAAAAATTCCTACCCAGCCCCAAAAGGCGACCCGCTGAAGCCTACACTATTCACAGGGCGGGCAGGTGGGCCAAGCACACAGCAAAGATTGGAGACAGATGGGGCAGAACCAGCCATATATGCTGTTGGCTCCACACACACCCCACAACGTCCAGTGGCAGATTGCCATGGCCTGCCTCTTCCTCCTTCAAGGTGGGAAAAGTGGCCCCCAGCTGTGATTGACGTGAGGCTTAGCAGCCAGGCGGAACCAAGTTGCCCCCCCCCCAAAGTTGGAAGAAAGAAACAGACACAGTGATGTGATAACTAAGGGTCACTTTATTTATTTTAAGAAACTGAAGCGGCTAGGGCAACCTAACAGTGCAAGATGGCAAGGCCAGGGGTTGCCCTTCATCCCTCTTTGCCACATAGGGTGAGCCACTGTGCCCCTGGCATGAGTCATGATCACGTGGCTCACACCCAACTGGTATAGCAAGCAGGTTACATCCTCATACATCCAGCCTCCAAGCCGCACAACTTAGGAGGTGGAGCTAACTGGTACCCACAGGCAGTCTGCATTCCTAGCCATGAGCCACACAACCCAAATGCTGATCCCGATAGACCCCTTTCCCCAAAAAAGGTGGGGGTGCCAACTGGTGCTCCCCTGTCTGCTTCTCCTTACCCCGCCCACACTATCCCGCCACACCCAAATTCAAGTCTCTACTTAGGACCTTGTGCCCACTAAGCAACCCACAGCCACCTGCAGCCCATATTTCACTTAGGAATATATAATTTTCCTTTTCATACCATCCTTCCTGTATAAATCCCAATACTCGATCTGCATACCAGGGTGAGGCAAATACTGGCTTAACCCACCCTCAAGAGTTTTCTTAAGCTCTTGGTTCACCTTACAGTGAGCCCTGTCCAAGCACCAGGGTTTTTCCACCCCTGGGAAACCAAACACGGTAGCATTGGTGACCAAATAACCAACACACCAGGCCATCCAGGATATGTCTCAGGTCGGCCTTAGTCTGCAACACAAGGGCTTTCCCATTCACCAAGCCCAGGTTATTACCACCATGGTGTATGACCAGCACATTAGACAGAGGACCCTTCCTTCCTTGAAACAGAAGAGGCCTGAGACCTGGCCACCTTAGGCCCTGGTGTTCCCGCCACTCCACCACTGCCCAGTCACTGAGGCCCAACTGCAAACCAAAGGATGATCTTCTGGCCCGGTGAGCCACCCAGAAAATCTTGCTGTGCCTGCAGATGAGAATTCGCCTCCTTCCATGGTGGACCACAGAACCTAAAAAGAAAACTCAAATTAACAACAGAAGAACAGTGCTCAATTGGACAAAAGGGGGCAGACATATGACCCAAATGCTAGATGGCCGGGGCAGGGTAACCCACAGCTGCTGTAGAGGCAGTGCCTATCCTAAAGGAATGAGTACCAAACTTAACTCCACCCAACCCCAACCTTTCCAACACCCAGGCGGTGACTGTCCAGAACTGATATTTAGTCAATGGACTATAGTCATAATGACAAAAAGTACCCCTGGCTCATTTCCCCTAACTGCTAAATACTGCTGAAGGGTTGTTACTGGACATAACTCAGTATCAGAACAAGGCCCCGCCATAATCTCAACCCCTAAACAACTCTGATCCATTTTGAACCACCTAATACACCCCCTCATTGGTGAAATGAATACCCTGGGTCATCAATGCCCAGCCAAAACTATCGCTATGGGAAGAAACTACTAATTCACTAACCTGAAGAGCACCAGAAAAGGCCACCAGTGCTGCCACATGAAAGAGGGACACCTCAAAGCTGGAAGCGCAAACACCATGCAGGCCCTTAAGGATCGTAGGCAAAATAGACATCTGACCATCCCTTTGTTCTCCAACCTCACGAGACCAGCCCTCAAGCATGTTCCAAATACAGAAGTCTTCTGTGCTAACAAATGCAAGGGCAGAGAGCTGACCCCTAATAGATCTGACCAAGAATCCCTTACCTCTCATGTAAATACAGAACGGCATAACATGCTCCACTGGGGTGGGCCATGCACCACGAAGCCCTACCTCTTGCCTAAACCTTTCAGATTGGCTGACTGCACGATCATAAGCTCTCCTGGTGCTAGGGGCTATAGCTAGCTATTGCTTTGCGCACCTTGACCCACCAAGCTGCCATAGCTCTGGGGGCATTCGGGCCGGCTGGGGATCCGCTTCTGGGGCCAGCTGATGGAACTTTCCATCTGTTTATGGGATGGAACATCCACCACCCCGTTACAAACTCCCAGCACTTGCTTAGCCACAAAGAGAATATTAAGGTGGAGACAATGCAGAGTAAAAGCTCATACCAGTGCCATGACCTGGAGAGATTTGGATGTGAGAGAGTTGATGATGTGGACCACTGCCATATTGCCCCACCAAAACTGAACTGTGTGATTGGTGAGGGTATCACTCCACAGCCAGGCTGTGACTACTATGGGGAAGAATTTGAAAAAGGTGAGGTCCCTAGTGAGGCCCACCAGGGCCCACTCTGCTGGCTACTCCTTGGCACACCAATGTCCACGAAAGTAAACACCGAACCCTAATGACCCTGCAGCATCCAATATGACCTGCAACTTGGCTTCTATTTTCATGTCCTCCCTCGAAAAAGAAACCCTGTTGACAGCAGGCAAGAACTCCTCCTAGACTGCTAAATCAGCTCTCAATCTATGATGAGGGGGACCTGCCTGGTGCAACAGCCTTACAAGCGAAGTTGAAGTGAACAACCAACTGCTGTAGCTCCAGCCAAGTGGTTTTGCTCCAGCTCTTAGAGGAGGCAATCCTGTCTCTCAGATCCTTAACGTTCTGCACTGACAGCCTGGACCCCTGAGCCACTGTATTCAACTCCACTCCAGGAACATCAACACTGTGACAGGCCCTTCGGTCTTTTCATAGCCTAGAGGGGCTCCCAGCTCCTTCGCCAAGCTGAGAAAACCAGCTTGCAACTTAGTGCACCGCCCTGATTCCTGAGGGCCAACAAACAGGAAATCATTGAGGTAGTATGCAGTATCATCCAAACCTGAACTACGGCGGAGTGCCCACTCCCAAAAGGAACTAAAGTGCTCAAATGCTGTGTATGAAACCGAACCAAATCAGCAATGCGTATCCATGTATAACTGGACATCGAATGAAAAGTTCAACCCACCAAGCTGAGAAAACCAGCTTGCAACTTAGTGCACTGCCCTGATCCCTGAGGGCCAACAAACAGGAAATCATTGAGGTAGTATGCAGTATCATCCAAACCTGAACTACGACGGAGTGCTCACTCCCAAAAGGAACTAAAGTGCTCAGATGCTGTGCATGAAACCAAACCAAATCAGCAATGCGTATCCATGCATAACTGGACATCGAATGAAAAGTTCAACAACTCAAAATTTGCAGGGTGAACTGAAAGTAAGCGAAAGGCAGACTTCGTGTTGCGTTTTGTCTGCTCCGCCCCTACTCCACAACGCCTAACCAGTCAAAAGAGGTGTACCTAACAGAACACAAATACTTGGATATTGCTTCATTCATTGCCTCCCCTCCATAGATAGGAAAGGTGGTGGATCAAGTGATACTCACCAGGTGTCTTCTTCGGTATACCCCCCCCCATAGAAATACATGAAGGTTGGGAACTGGGGGAGCTGGAAAAGGACACAAGACCCTGTCGGCCAAATGTTCCTTCTCAGTCTTGTCCCTAACCACCTGAAAGAGGTGTACCTAACAGAACACAAATACTTGGATATTACATCATTCATTGCCTCCCCCCCATGGATAGGAAAGGTGGTGGATCAAGTGATACTCACCAGGTGTCTTCTTCGGTAACAACCCCCATAGGGATACATGAAGGTTAGGAACTGGGGGAGCTGGAAAGGGACCCAAGACCCTGTTGGCCAAACACTCCTTCTCAGTCTTGTCCCTAACCACCTGCTCCAATCCCTGCACAGAGCGCAAATTACTAGCCATGAAAGGGGACCTGGGGCCTTGACAAGGGATGCAAAAGCTGAATGTAAACCCATACAATAACTATAAGCTATCAACACAGTTCAGGTATATACAAAGCCATCTCTCTAAGGCCTGGTGTTTAACTGGTCTGGTCCCCTTTACCAGAGGGGTGGCTAGAGCTACCCCCTCCCTGCTGCTTGCCTCCAGATTGATTCCTGGCTCCACTTCAAGGCTTTGCCCTGGGGCAAGC